AGGATATCCAAATGTTAAAACTTCTACCGAAAAGTTTCAAAGAAAAATAAAATTCAAATAATTCGTTGGGATGTTTGTTGGATATTACAATTTCAACGATAAATTTTCAAACTACATTCAGTGTTATATAATTTTTCATTGAAATATGAAATTTTGTTTGAATTAATTTTTTTTCGCTTAAAAATATAAAATATTTAAACTTATTAGTTGGTAATTATAAAATTATCGATGACAAAATAAATCTCATACAATACTATTATTTAAGTTGGAAAGCAAAGAAAAAAAAAATAAAAAAATAAAATTAAACTAAACTAGTAATGAAAGAATTAAAGCAAAAAGATAATACAATTCATTTCAAGTTAATAAAGTATTTCTCATGAGATTTTAGCTCATGTATGTAGCAATAGATCCTTATTGGCTCTACAACTACATAAGAATCCTTATGGCACCAAGGAAAGCAAATCCCACTATGAGACAAAAAAAATAATTCAGATATTAACAGTCATTCTTAGTAATGAAGAAACTTAGTGGAAAAATAACTATCAATCAATCAATAAACATACCAGTATATTCCCAAAAAGGTTGGGGTTTGGGGGTCAGTTGTACGCAGACCTTACCCTTGTAATTATACAAGGAGAATGTTTCCATAGCGACCCAAGGTGCGTTACGTCGTTTGATATATTTTTTCTAGAAACTTCACTAATAGAAGAAGCACTAGAATTTAATTGAGTCATTTTGATCTAGTCCATTATTTGCACGATGCTAGAAGAATTGTCAACATTGACTCTTGCAGCTCCATTTGCAATGGACTCAAGTGAAAAAATAACTATATATCATAATATTTCAAACAAGCCTCTCATGGAAAATAATAATTACTAAATGCAATCTCAAAAAGTATTTTATATATTTGCAATAATTCATATAGAAACATGTAGGAAAGAAGTGAGTATTTACTTGCTGTTAATGGAGAAAATGAGTCGAGCCCGAGCTTTTGGTATTCGGACTCAAGCTTTTATCGAATCAAACCGAGCCAACAAAACGAGTTGATAAACGGACTATAATTTGGCTTATTTACCAATATTAACGAATCGGAATCGAAGCCTATTTTCATTTATCAAAACTTAGCTAGCATAATTCGGATTTCAACAAGTCGAGCTCACAAACAGCTTATATAATTTAGCAATAGTAAAGGAAAACCCATCATCATCATCATCAGCAGCAGCAGCATATAAAATGTATATAAGCTCCAAATTAATCACATCCCTCCTCCCACTATGACACAAGTTGGAATCTTTATACATTTATCTAAAAAAGCCATTTTTAGAAATCTATTTTATTTTATTTTTTTTTTCCAATTTGAGCCCAACAAAAAACATGACCATTCACATATTTCCTCTCAAAAGCCTTGGAAAAAACTGCCCTTTTGGCTCAGGACACGTGGCATTCTTGAAATCTGTTTCATCAAGGGTCCTTCATCCCCTCGACTATATTTATTTATTACTACCAAAAGTTTGCTATTTTCTCATCTTTATCACTTTATTTGTGCATAAAGAATTCATTTTTTCTTTTTTTCTGTTCAGAAAGGAGTGATTGGATTTAGATAATGGAGTCTCCACGTGTCCTCTGAAACAGTACAAAAATAATAGTAAAAGCTTTTATCTTTTTCCCCACACACTCCTCTCTCTTTCTCTCTCTCTCTCTCTCTCTCTCAATATCAGCAGAAACAAAGTGGGAATAAAAATCTGAGGGAGGAGGCATTATAACTGAATAAACTTTGAGCTCTTGGACTGTTTTTCATTTTTTGGGTCCTTTCAGATTCAGTTCTTGGTAAGAATTCATTCACCTCTTTTTTTTTT